GTCAGAGTCTATGTTTGAAGTTGTTCAGTGTTTTTTTGCAATAGACTGTAGATGTATGTGTTCCAGAGTAGAGAGTGTTCCAGAGTAGAGAGACCCACAGTAGCAACTGTAATTGAGTACTGGCAGTGTCTGCTGTGGGAATTGGGAAGGTGCAAGTTACCTGAAAAAGATCTAATCTCTCAATGTTACATTTTATTCATTTAGCAGACGCTCTTATCCAGAGCGACTTACAGTTAGTGCATTCACTTTAAGATAGCTAGGTGGGACAACCACATATCACAGTCATAGTTCATCTCAAAGTACACCAAATCCATGCCTTTAACTGTTGAAATGTCCCATTTTTTTGCAGGGGGAGAATGCCCCCGGACCCCCCTACTGACTTTGGGCCTAATCCCTGAATGTCTTCAAATCCTAGAAATGCCCCTCATTAAGGCTATCTTACAAACTGATGTAACATTCAACCTTAAAATGAGTAACACATCCATGGCCACATTTTGAGGTTAATGTAACTATTTCTTCTTCTGTAATCATATAAAGTGTTAATGTTCAAGATAGCATGCATAGGTTATTGCAGGTCTGTGGAGATCTTACAATTGTTGTAATTATCTAGGCAGAATCGGTATTGATCACTTGCACCATGTACTTTTAATGTAATCTCAACTGCAATCCAGGTCATTTGGGTCCTGCTATTAGATAAATCATAACACATTCATCTGTTGTATAAATAAACAAAATATCTGACATTGTATTCCCCATTTAAACTTTGCTGTGTTTTTAAATGGATGAAAGTGCAGTGATAGACAATTGGGGTAAAAATTAACCAAAACATCTGACATTGTTTTTCTAGTGGAATTTGGTTGTGCTTTTAGATGATTGAAAGTATAGTGATAAAACATTGGCTATTTAACTAACTTTTGACTGTCTTTTTGAGTGGGTGAATATAGTTTGTAATCTCATTGATCAAAGTCTCAACCAAATATTACCCAAATGTCCACGTTGAAATTACGTGGTGTGCCCAGTGGGTGGGGAGTTTGGTAAATGACTGGATTAAATAATGACCTAGACAAACACAACTTGCTCTATAAATACATGGAACAAATACTTTTAAATGAATGTCTCTCTAGTGAAGGCCACTCCTTCACAACCCCTTTACCGAAACTTGAGAGCAAACATTCATAGGCTGATTCGTTTCAACTGCCAAGAATGCAGTCTTTCAGGTCATGGGCGTATGCCCTTACTGTGCTGGCCAACCTACTCCTGATACTGTCATAGGCTAGTATCTCCTGCCATTATCATCACTGTATTTACCATGCATTATCATGTGACTTCTAATGTCTCCTCCATCACTGTGACAATGCATTTCAGACACGGTATGTGTTTTTTCTGCAATGTCACTACACGTGTCTTTGAAATTCACTATTATTAGGCCTAGGGTTTTTCCATAGCAGCAATCTACTCCAGTGTTTCTTTTAAGCACTAGTTATATTTTTGGTGATTGTGTTTGCATCACCCAGGGTGATTCTTAGGACTTGGAAAGAGAAGTGTCAGCAACCTCTGCATAATCAGAACAGTTGCTTTGTGAGGTGTTAACCGTGGAAGGTGCCATGTAAGCCATTGCAGCCTGAAGAGTCCCAGTTTCCCACTGGTGAAAGGGGAAACCCAAATTGGGCACATGGAGAAAAATCTGAACAGTCCACTAAGGGCTTTCACTCTTTACCAAATTTGATGATGAGAGGAAGTGCAGTGGCAAGGCAGAGGGAGAAGATGGAGTAAGATTCAACTGGGTCGACATTCTGCTACATTTCTCATAAATGAATCATCCGATCTCAATTCAAACAGAGTGCATTAAGTTGTAGACATGACCCTTTGCTAAAGTTATCCTTGAATTGTCCTAGAAAGTTATGTTCTGTTTAGCAGGTGGGACATTAGGACCGAGCAGCGTCAGGGTTAAATACCAGAAAAAAATATAAGGAAATGTGGTTCCCACCAATCACCTGTGCCTTCCTGAACCACTTCCTTATATCTGTTCTAGTATTTAACCCTTACGCTGCTCGGTTCTTATGCCCCAACTGCCACACAAATGAGGCAACTAAAGTGATTCACTATTGCAAAGTTGGGTTTAGGGGCTCATATTGGCACATTTCCATTGTCACATTTGACTACAGTGTTAGCTGAAAAATTCTACTTTTCGTGTTTCCACCTCCAAGACCCGGCCCAAAAGACTAACTGGGCCATGGCCTTGGTGGACCTGCCCCGACTTGGGGCCAGACCAATGTCGAATTTCCATTTGGGGTTTTTCATGGTGTTTCCCTGGTGTGGAATAAATATACTGAACAAAGATGTTAATGTACTACAGTTCATTTAAGGAAATCAGTCAATTAAAATAATATAATTAGGCCCTAATCTTGGATTTCTCATGACTGGGAATACAGATATGCATCTGTTGGTCACAGATGCCTTTAAAAAAAAAGTAGGAGCATGGATCAGTAAACCAGTCAGTATCTGGTGTGACCACCATTTGCCTCATGTAGTGCAACACATCTCCTTCGCATAGAGTTGATCAGGCTGTTGATTGTGGCCTATGGAATGTTGTCCCACTCCTATTCTATGGCTGTGTGAAGTTGCTGGATATTGGCGGGAACTGGAACATGCTGTCGTACACGTCGATCCAGAGCATCCCAAACATGCTCAATGGGTGACATGTCTGGTGAGTATGCAGGCCATGGAAGAACTGGGACATTTTCAGCTTCCAGGAATTGTGTACAGATCCTTGCGACATGGGGCTGTGCATTATCATGCTGAAACATGAGGTGATGGCGGTGGATGAATGGCACGACAATGGGCCTCAGGATCTTGTCATGGTATCTCTGTGAATTCAAATTGCCATTGATAAAATGCAATCGTGTTCATTTTCTGTAGCTTATTCCTGCCCATACCATAACCCCACCGCCACCATAGGGCACTCTGTTCTTCTCAATGTTGACATCAGCAAATCGCTCGCCCACACAATGCCATACACGTGGTCTGCGGTTGTTAGGCCGGTTGGACGTACTGCCAAATTCTCCAAAATGATGTAGGAGGTGGCTTATGGTAGAGAAATTAACATTCAATTCTCTGGCAACAGCTCTGGTGGACATTCCTGCAGTCAAGCATGCCAATTGCACGCTCCATCAAAACTTGAAACATCTGTGGCATTGTGTTGTGTGATAAAACTGCATGTTTTAGAGTGGCCTTTTATTGTCCCCAGCACAAGGTGCAACTGTGTGATGATCATGCTGTTTAATCAGCTTCTTGATATGCTACACTTGTCTGGTGGATGGATTATCTTGGCAAAGGAGAAATGCTCACTAACAGGGATGTAAACAAATTTGGGCACAAAATTTGAAGAAATACATTTTTGTGCCGATGGAACATTTCAGGGATCTTTTATTTCAGCTCATGAAACATGGGACCAACACTTTATATGTTGCGTTTATATTTTTGTTCAGTGTACTTTTGTGCTTCCACCTCCACGGCCCGGCTCCAGTGAGTCATGTAGGGACATATGAAATCTCTTTATATTTTTGCCTGATTCCGTTTAATTTTTTCCCTAATTCTGTTTTCTTCATCTTCTTTTTCCAGTTTTCCGTTTTCCCCTGTTTTTTCAGGTTTTCACTCTCAAAGTTACACTTTTAAAAAAGAAAAACAACTAAATTGGATGTTCTAAGTCCACAACAATGTTTAAACCACATCAGGAGATCTCTTTTGAGGTATGGAAAATAATTGAGACATTTCGATTTTTGGGTGTAGTACCCTTTAATTCCAGTGGGCACCTATCAAGAGGCTGTTGTTTACATTTACATTTACATCATTTAGCAGACGCTCTCATCCAGAGCGACTTACAAATTGGTGCATTCAACTTATGATAACAAATGGAACAACCACCTTTTTTTTTTCTTTTTTTTTGTGGGGGGTGTGGGAAGAAGGATTACTTTATACTATTCCAGGTATTCCTTAAAGAGATAGGGTTTCAAGTGTCTCCGGAAGGTAGTCAGTGACTCCGCTGTCCTGGCATCGTGGGGGAGCTTGTTCCACCATTGGGGTGCCAGAGCAGCGAATAGCTTTGACTGGGCTGAGCGGGAACTGTGCTTCCGTAGAGGTAGGGGAGCTAGCAGGCCAGAGGTGGATGAACGTAGTGCCCTCGTTTGGGTGTAGGGTCTGATCAGAGCCTGAAGGTAAGGAGGTGCCGTTCCCCTCACAGCTCCGTAGGCAAGCACCATGGTCTTGTAGTAGATGCGAGCCTCAACTGGAAGCCAGTGGAGTGTGCGGAGGAGCGGGGTGACATGTTTAGCAGTGGTTTTTGTAGATAGTAGAGTTTGCGGAACAAATACCAACTGGATTGATGCAGATAATCATGATGCTATTCTGCCAAGTAAGCATAGGCTACTTTGTAGTTAACATTTAATTGAGAAGGTTTATTCGAAAGCCTTTCCATCTACCAGAAGATTTTGCATTAGCATCATCGCTAACGGCTACACAAAGTGGTTGTTGTGTGCACTGCACATACACAGACGGGGAATTCTCGTTGCGTCTTCAGAAAATTGCGAGAAGTCGAATCACTGATACATTCTGTTCATGTCTTATGATAAACTTTGGCAAATTAAACATTTTTCAATTGATTTAGTTGATTCTCTACTAAGTTATTGACTGGATTCTGTCCGCGTTCTCCATATGGTGGATTTTATAGGGCCCTAGCCATAGCCTCGGTGGACCTGCTAGCTAACATTAACCTTCTCTCTTATGTAGTGTCCGAGATTTACTTTTACTATGTTACCTCTAGTGCATGAGACCAGGCTGGCGACATACGTCATCATTTTGGGCACCTAGGCGAGTCCATATAGCTGGTTGAACGCGCCCTTTAAAGCGAGGACGTCGACATACCTGAGATCTGCGAGTGTGATATACTGTGATAAAGCGTTAATGTCCTGTCTGTATTGTGTGTCTATAACTACTTTTACAGCATGAGTTCAGAATCGGCCATTCTGTTGGAGACTGTCAACTTCGCTGCTGAAAAGCACCGCAATCAACGACGTAAAGACGCTGAAAAAACCCCATATATCACCCACCCAATAGGTATAGTTGTGACAACACTCTTAACAGAAGCTAGCTAGCCAGCTAGATAGGTCCTTAGCAATAACTCTCTCTCTACTCGGACTTCAGTGCATGGATATCTGCATTTACATTTGCCGTGTTTACAATTTTGCAGGAGTGGCAAGGATCCTAAGCCATGAAGGTGGGATCACAGACATTGAAGTTTTGCAAGTAAGTGTTTTATGTTTCAGACCGACTCAAAAGACCGGTTTCCACAAGATGGCACAGCCACAAAGTCAAAATTGGCTATGTCATAAAAATGTATTAAACATTTTGTTGCTTTTTGGCCTTGATTTAAGGTTAGGGTTAGGCATAAGATTAGCAGTGTGGTTAAGGCTTGGTTTAAAATATAATTTAAAGAAAATACATTGTAGAAATAGGCGGGGTTTATGACTTTGGCTGTGGTAACCAGTGAAGACTCCCAAAATGCCCTCAAAAGTATGTGGACGCCCCTTAAAATGTGTGTATTCGGCTATTTCAGCCTATCCCGTTGTTGACAGGTGTATAGAATCAAGCGCACACAGCCATGCAATCTCCATAGACAAACATTGGCAGTAGAATGGCCTAACTGAAGAGCTCAGTGACTTTCAACGTGTCACTGTCATAGGATGCCACCTTTCCAACAAGTCAGTTCGTCAAATTTCTGCCCTGCTAGAGCTGCCCCGGTCAACTGTAAGTGCTGTTATTGTGAAGTGGAAATGTCTAGGAGCAACAACGGCCCAGCCGCGAAGTGGTAGTCTGTCCTCAGTTGCAACACTCACTACCGAGTTCCAAACTGCCTCTGGAAGCAACGTCAGCACATGAACTGTTCGTTGGGTGCTTAATGAAATGGGTTTCCATGGCCGAGCAGCCACACACAAGTCTAAGATCACCATGCGCAATGCCAAGCATCGGCTGGAGTGGTGTAAAGCTCACCACCATTGGACTCTGGAGCAGTGGAAACGCGTTCTCTGGATTGATGAATCACGCTTCACCATCTGGCAGTCCGACGGACGAATCTAGGTTTGGCAGATGCCAGGAGAACGCTACCTGCCCCAATGTATAGTGCCAACTGTAAAGTCTGGTGGTGGAGGAGGAATAATGGTCTGGGGCTGTTTTTCATGGTTCGGGCTAGGCCCCTTAGTGTATGGGTGGTCCTCTGTAGCTCAGCTGGTAGAGCACGGCGCTTGTAACGCCAGGGTAGTGGGTTCGATCCCCTGGACCACCCATACACAAAAATGTATGCACGCATGACTGTAAGTCGCTTTGGATAAAAGCGTCTGCTAAGTGGCATATTATTATTATTATTATTATTATTATTATTATTCCAGTAAAGGGAAATCTTAATGCTAAAGCATACAATTATATTTTAGATGATTCTGTGCTTCCAACTTTGTTGCAACAGCTTGGGGAAGGCCTGTTCCTGTTTCAGCATGACAATAACCCTGTGCACAAAGCGAGGTCCATACAGAAATGGTTTGTTGAGATTGGTGTGGAAGAACTTGACTGGCCTGCACAGAGCCCTGACCTCAACCCCATCGTATACCTTTGTGATGAATTGGAACGCTGACTGCGAGCCAGGCCTAATCGCCCAACATCAGTGCCTTACCTCACTAATGCTCTTGTGGCTGAATGGAAGCAAGTCCCCACAACAATGGTTCCAACATCTAGTGGCAAGCCTTCCCAGAAGAGTGGAGGCTGTTATAGCAGCAAAGGGGGGACCAACTCCATATTAATGTTCCATGATTATGGAATGAGGTGTTCGACGAGCAGGTGTCCACATACTTTTCTTCATGTAGTGTACTTGTTCATGGAGGGCAACATTCTAAATCGTAAATTAAATTTATATGATTAAGTATTGACAGTCAATGGGCAATGTTAAGCTCATTAAAGCATTCAACGTTTGTGTTAACAATAGTTTGTGTTAACAGGAATGAATGGTTTTTCACTGATATTTGTGTATTTTCCAACTGTCTGCAGGCAGCTTTGCTCCATGACACAGTGGAGGACACTGACACCAGCATAGGAGAGCTACAGGCTGTCTTTGGGCAAACGGTGGCACGGCTTGTCCAGGAAGTGACAGACGACAAGGCGCTGTCCAAGGAGGAGACAAAGCGTCAGCAGGTGGAGTACGCACCTCACGCCAGCCACCAGGCCAAATTGGTCAAACTGGCTGACAAACTGTACAACCTAAGGGACATCAACCGCTGCACACCCACAGGTGATTGTTTTTCTCTCTCTTTTTTCTCTGTCTTTATTCAGCCATCTTGATCCAACCAACTGACTAGGCAAATGGCATGTCATAGGCTAGACGCAATGAACTGATACCCTAGCAGGACACTACTCTTTCCTCTTCCTCTCTTTCTTTATCTCTTTCTCTCTCTGGCTTGTTGCTTCTCTTCACTTGCTTCCCTCTCTGGTTGTCTGACTGTCCCTCTCTTTACCCCAAGCCCATATCTTATATTTCTTCTGTGTTGTGGTTGCCAGGTTGGACAGCAGAGCGTGTTCAGGAGTACTTTGTGTGGGCAGCCCAGGTAGTGAGAGGGCTAAGGGGGACCAACCCAGCACTGGAGGGACACCTAGAGGAGCTCTTCAAACAGAGGGGGATCGAGCTTTGACACCTCTCTGCTTCTGACACAGGGTGCCACAACAGAGCAACTGTTGACGCACACTTTTGTAAAGAGTTTAAGACCTTGAGCGAATTGTCTTTGTTAGCTTCTCCATGGAATATACTTTTATATACTCTTAACTCACAAGGAAAAGGTTACCTTGGATTTATTTTTATAGGTGATTTGATTCTTCATTTTAAGTACAGTACTTTGTATACATTGTGTGTAGAACTGGCAAACCAACAATGTCACCTTGAGTTCTCGCTGGATTGAATAAAGCAATGCTATGCACTCGTAAAAGTGAAAATGGTAAAAAATGATTATAATATTTAATGGTGATGCAGAACCTGTAACTACTCTATCATGGCTAATTGCTCCTGTAAGTCGCTCTGGATAAGAGCGTCTGCTAAATAATGTAAATGTAATGACACACTGAACTAAAATACTTTTTTATTGATTTATTGTATGTCATTTATTTTTTAAGTATATAAATGTAGGGGTTTAGGAATCGAATGAGCTAAACATTTGAAACGGCGATATGTGAATTATTCTATAGAAGCCGTTATACCTTGGCTAGTAGAATCGGTCCGAAGCAATTTTTCAATTAACCTGTTCTTACTTATACTTTGTTCTCGATTCGGAAGAAATGTGTATCTTATAAAATGTCTGTGTTCAGTTGCAGGTGGTTCTCCAAAAACCAGAGAATATTCAGAAAGACATTAAAATACACGTTTTGTATTGTGCGAGAAATGCCTCTTGCGTGTGTAGATATTTTTGGGGCGGTCACATTGTGTGATGCGCTGTCATCTACTCACGCGTGGCCGCGCCGCATAGAAACGGGAAATACAAGATCTATGACAGCTTTAATGGCGAGGGAACTCCTCACTCGGTGCAAAATGTGGATTTTACTATCTTTCTGAATATTCTCTGTTTTTTAGAGAACCACCTTCAACTGAACATGGACATTTATAAGATACACATTTCTTCCGAATTGAGAACAAAATGGTATCGCCAATACCATATTAGTAGAAAAAATCCATGGGGACGTTTTGTATAGGCAAACCTGTAACGCCCAGTAATGGATACCAAAAATATTTTATACCAGATAATGTAAAATAACCTGTAGCTAGGTTGGCCTATCCATCATCAGAATGTTTCAGCCTGCTGTATTAGCAGTGTTGGTGAACACATAATTGGAGAGGAAGTACAAAACCAACGACGCTAGACAGAGAGGAATTTGCTTAAGCAAAAGGCAGTTTATTAAAACAGAGATAGCTGGTACTGCTCAAGCTACATGCATGGACCCAACCAATTGCCTCTTAAGGAGACAGTTGAGAAAGGATGAATAAACAGAGTTACAGCATTATTTTATACAATGTAACATAAAGGAAGGGGTCCTTCTTCTAGTCCCTTGATTGGTTCCCGAGGCGTAGGAGGCGGGTCTGCTCTGTCCAGAGTAGAAGCCCCATTGGTGCACGGCAGAGTCCTCTGCCCTTGGCACCCGACCAGTAGAAGGAAGTGGAGTTTTGAGTGTGCGTCCACAGTGAAATGTCTGTGTGTGTCAAAGAACTCGTGAGGCATGAGAATGAGTGTGCGTGCAAATGAAATATTTGTGTGTGTCCAGGGAACTGGTGAGGACCATCTGGTGATTGTGGCCTTGGGCGTGGGTGTTGTCCTGTTATTACACTCCTGACTAGGCCATCCGGTGACAAGATATGGCTGCTCTTCTACTGTCCTTTGTTCGACAACCAACACAACAGCCCACTGTTAATACCAGACATATGACAAATCCCCCTCTTCACGTTATAACATTTTATATTTACTACGACAGCAGTAACTGTTCAAAGTAACGCAATATATTTTTTTGTTTGTATCCCATACAAATGAGTTGTCCTCAAATTAATTTACATGAGAAGTCAACCAATCAAAAATGTAAAGAAACGGATTATTATTTTAGTGGAAGCAACGAAGGAACCACTGTGGGCGATCGAGAGATGGCGGAAGTGGATGCTGAATTTGATTTGAGCAAAGTTGGTGAAGATGAATGTCCTGAATGGACACTGAATAACAGTAGTGTGAAAAGTAAAACAAAGGAAATTGTGTAATAAAAGGCCATGCATGTGCACGTGACTTTCCTCACCCTTTAGGATGGATATCGCTCAATCTCAGCTGTCAATCACAGCCCTTCGGTTTCGGACAATCAGTGTGCTTGGACACGCATGTGGCCACTGTAGCCGCCCATTCAAGTTTAGTGTTTGGTCCACGTCTCAAGAAGAAGAGACATGTTTGGCTGGTTACGAAGTTTACTCTAAGAACATTGTGCGTGCATCGAAGAAAAACACCAGTAGATTCCTAAGTAACGAGTGTGTGTGTTAAAAGTATATGTGGTGGTGGTGACGAATACAACTCCTGGACTGAGAAGCATCCGTACTGTTTTTGCCTGACAGCCTGTAGCGAATCAGAACCAAGTATATCAGCATTAAGTACTAGCGGGTAAGGGCATTCACAGCCGACTGCTCAGATGAGCTCCTGCTAGCCGTTTTTTTACAATTGTAGTGGAGTAAGGACGCGGATGTGGGAAACTCGTTTGACGTGTTGTAAATGGTGAAGTATGCGCTGGGAAAAGTGGAGTCTGTCAGAGTGACCAGGAGTGGTCTTATTTTGATTCATTGTATTTCTGATGAGCAGAGGAAGATTGCAGTGGGCCTTAAAATAATCGGGGCAACAGACATATCATGTTTTGAACTTCGGAGCAGAGCACCTGTCAAAGGAGTCATCTCAGGGGTGATGATGGCTGTTCAGGTTGAATACCTGAAGAGAATTCCTGGTGTGGTTGGTGCCCGGCATCTGACCGGCTTGGTGAATAGATAAAATTAATAAAGTCTGTCCTGTTTTTTAAAATATATATATATAAAGAGCACCTACCTACGCATGTAAGCTTGGTTATGTAAGATATGCTGTAATAGCTTTCGTCCCCAAACTACTGCATGTTTCAAGTGTGTGCAGACGGACGGACTATACTGAAGAACGTTGTGTAGAAGGACAACGGTGTTGCAATTGTGGTGGGGATCATGATCCCGAGTTCTTGGAGTGCCCTGTAAGGGTGAAGGAGATTGAGGTGGCAAAAGTTTGAGCGGTCAATCGAATCTCCTATGCGGAGGCGATTAAAAGAGTTGAGAAACAAGTGACAAAGAAAAAGCCATATCTCAGACTGCCCATCTTAATCCTTTCTTTTTATTGGCCAGTCTGAGATATGGCTTTTTCTTTGCAACTCTGCCTAGAAGGTCAGCATCCCGGAGTCGCCTCTTCACTGATGACGTTGAGACTGGTGTTTTGCAGGTACTATTTAATGAAGCTGCCAGTTGAGGACCTGTGAGGCGTCTGTTTCTCAAACTAGACACTAATGTATTTGTCCTCTTGCTCAGTTGTGCACCGGGGCCTCCCACTCCTCTTTCTTTTCTGGTTAGAGACAGTTTGCACTGTTCTGTGAAGGGAGGACTACACAGCGTTGTACGAAATCTTCAGTTTCTTGGCAATTTCTCTCATGGAATAGCCTTCATTTCTCAGAACAAGAATAGACTGATGAGTTTCAGAAGAAAGTTATTTGTTTCTGGCCATTTTGAGCCTGTAATCGAACCCACAATTGCTGATGCTCCAGATACTCAACTAGTCTCTAGAAGGCCAGTTTTATTGCTGCTTTAATCAGCACAACAGTTTTCAGCTGTGTTAACATAATTGCAAAAGGGTTTTCTAATGATCAATTAGCCTTTTTAAATGATAAACTTGGATTAGCAAACACAACGTGCAATTGGAACACAGGACTGATGGTTGCTGATAATGGGCCTCTGTACGCCTATGTAGATATTCCATAAAAAATCTGCCGTTTCCAGCTACAATAGCCATTTACAACATTAACAATGTCTACACTGTATTTCTGATCAATTTGATGTTATTTTAACGGACAAAAAAATTGCTTTTCTTTCTAAAACAAGGACATTTCTATGTGACCCCAAACCTTTGAACGGTATTGTACAGTTGAAGTCGGAAGTTTACATACACTTAGGTTGGAGTCATTAAAACTCGTTGTTCAACCACTTCAGAAGTTTCTTGTTAACAAACTAGAGTTTTGGCAAGTCGGTTAGGACATCTACTTTGTGCATGACACAAGTAATTTTTCCAACAATTGTTTACAGACAGATTATTTCACTTATAATTCACTGAATCACAATTCCAGTGGGTCAGAGGTTTACATACACTAAGTTGACTGTGCCTTTAAACAGCTTGGAAAATTCCAGAAAACGTTGTCATGGCTTTAGAAGCTTCTGGTAGGCTAATTACATTTACATTTTAGTCATTTAGCAGACGCTCCAGAGCGACTTACAGTTAGTGAGTGCATACATTTTCATACTGGCCCCCTGTGGGAAACGAACCCACAACCCTGGCGTTGCAAGCGCCATGCTCTACCAACTGAGCTACAGGGGACTACTAATTGACATCATTTGAGTCAATAGGAGGTGTACCTGTGGATGTATTTCAAGGCCTACCTTCAAACTCAGTGCCTCTTTGCTTGACATCATGGGAAAATCAAAAGAAATCAGCCAAGACCTCAGAAAAAAAATTGTAGACCTCCACAAGTCTGGTTCATCCTTGGGAGCAATTTCCAAATGCCTGAAGCTACCACATTCATCTGTACAAACAATAGTATGCAAGTGTAAACACCATGGGACCACACAGCCATCATACCGCTCAGGAAGGAGATATGTTCTGTCTCCTAGAGATGAGCGTACTTTGATGCGAAAAGCAAATAAATCCCAGAACAACAGTAAAGGACCTTGTGAAAATGCTGGAGGGAACAGGTACAAAAGTATCTATATCCACAGTAAAACGAGTCCTATATCGACATAACCTTAAAGGCCGCTCAGCAAGGAAGAAGCCACTGCTCCAAAACCGCCATAAAAAAGCCAGACTACGGTTTGCAACTGCACATGAGGACAAAGATCGTACTTTTTTGAGAAATGTCCTCTGGTCTGATGAAACAAAAATAGAACTGTTTGGCCATAATGACCATCGTTTTGTTTGGAGGAAAAAGGAGAACGCTTGCAAGCCGAAGAACACCATCCCAACCGTAAAGCACGGGGTTGGCAGCATCATGCTGTGTTGGTGCTTTGCTGCTGGAGGGACTGGTGCACTTCACAAAATAGATGGCATCATGAGGAAGGAAAATTATGTGGATATTTTGAAGCAACATCTCAAGACATCAGTCAGGAAGTTAAAGCTTGGTCGTAAATGGGTCTTCCAAATGGACAATGACCCCAAGCATACTTCCAAAGTTGTGGCAAAATGGCTTAAGGACAACAAAGTCAAGGTATTGGAGTGGCCAACACAAAGCCCTGACCTCAATCCTATAGAACATTTGTGGGCAGAACTGAAAAAGCGTGTGCGATCAAGGAGGCCTACAAACCTGACTCAGTTACACCAGCTCTGTCAGGAGGAATGGGCCAAAATTCACCCAACTTATTGTGTGAAGCTTGTGGAAGGCTACCCGAAACGTTTGACACAAGTTAAACAATTTAAAGGCAATGCTACCTAATACTAATTGAGTGTATATAAACTTCTGACCCACTGGGAATGTGATGAAATAAATAAAAGCTTAAATAAATCATTCTCTCTACTATTATTCTGACATTTCACATTCTTAAAATAAAGTGGTGATCCTAACTGACCTAAGACAGGGAATTTTTACTAGGATTAAATGTCAGGAATTGTGAAAAACTGAGTTTAAATGTATTTGGCTAAGGTGTACAGTGGGGGGAAAAAGTATTTAGTCAGCCACCAATTGTGCAAGTTCTCCCACTTAAAAAGATGAGAGAGGCCTGTAATTTTCATCATAGGCACACATCAACTATGACAGACAAATTGAGAATTTCTTTTCCAGAAAATCACATTGTAGGATTTTTAATGAATTTATTTGCAAATGATGGTGGAAAATAAGTATTTGGTCAATAACAAAAGTTTCTCAATACTTTGTTATATACCCTTTGTTGGCAATGACACAGGTCAAACGTTTTCTGTAAGTCTTCACAAGGTTTTCACACACTGTTGCTGGTATTTTGGCCCATTCCTCCATGCAGATCTCCTCTAGAGCAGTGATGTTTTGGGGCTGTCGCTGGGCAACACAGACTTTCAACTCCCTCCAAAGATTTTCTATGGGGTTGAGATCTGGAGACTGGCTAGGCCACTCCAGGACCTTGAAATGCTTCTTATGAAGCCACTCCTTCGTTGCCCGGGCGGTGTGTTTGGGATCATTGTCATGCTGAAAGACCCAGCCACGTTTCATCTTCAATGCCCTTGCTGATGGAAGGAGGTTTTCACTCAAAATCTCACGATACATGGCCCCATTCATTCTTTCCTTTACACGGATCAGTCGTCCTGGTCCCTTTGCAGAAAAACAGCCCCAAAGCATGATGTTTCCACCCCCATGCTTCACAGTAGGTATGGTGTTCCTTGGATGCAACTCAGCATTCTTTGTCCTCCAAACACGACGAGTTGAGTTTTTACCAAAAAGTTATATTTTGGTTTCATCTGACCATATGACATTCTCCCAATCCTCTTCTGGATCATCCAAATGCACTCTAGCAAACTTCAGACGGGCCTGGACATGTACTGGCTTAAGCAGGGGGACACGTCTGGCACTGCAGGATTTGAGTTGACGTGTACCTATGATGAAAATTACAGGCCTTTCTCATCTTTTTAAGTGGGAGAACTTGCACAATTGGTGGCTGACTAAATAAAATTTTTCCCCACTGTATGTAAACTTCCGACTTCAACTGTATATACCAGGCATTGATCAGGTCATCTTTGGATTATGGGTGCTTTGTATATGGATTGGCTACCAAAACAGTACTACAATACCTGGATAGGATACAGTCAAGGGCCCTGAGATTGTGTGTGGGTTCCTTCAGGACGCCACCTGTTGAGGCATTGCAGGTGGATAGTGTGGAACTCAAATAAAAAAAAAAAAAAAATGTTATTGGCCACATGCGCCGAATACAACAGGTGCAGACATTACAGTGAAATGCTTACTTACAGCCCTTAACCAACAGTGCATTTATTTTTAATAAAAAAGTAAAATAAACCAACAACAAAAAAGTGTTGAGAAAAAAAGAGCAGAAGTAAAATTAAATAACTAAGGCTATATATACAGGGGGGTACCGGTGCAGAGTCAATGTGCGGGGTCACCGGCTAGTTGAGGTAGTTGAAGTAATATGTACATGTGGGTAGAGTTAAAGTGACTATGCATAAATAATTAACAGAGTAGCAGCAGCGTAAAAAGATGGGGTGGGGGGGCAGTGCAAATAGTCCGGGTAGCCATGATTAGCTGTTCAGGAGTCTTATGGCTTGGGGGTAGAAGCTGTTGAGAAGTCTTTTGGACCTGCCACTGAGGATAAGGTGGGACAAACTTGTGTTAGCGTACTGGGCGAGGTTGAAAGGGAGTTCAGAAGCACATCCTGCAGTCACAGCAACTGGGGAATGCTGGGAGTGAGGAGTTGGTAAGCAGAGGGCGTACGGGTGGACAATCGGATAGAATGTGGTAGAGTATGGACTGGGGGAGAGAGAGATAGGGCCGGCAATTGCATTGGGGAACGTTCCTCCGTGGCTGTTTCTGAAACCAAGTGTAGATGTGGGCATGATTGAGGGCAGGAGAGAATGGGGTGAGGGCGTGAGACGGTGTGTGGAGAGATGTATAGATTACATTTCATTACATTTTCGTCATTTAGCAGACGCTCTTATCTAGAGCGACTTACAAATTGGTGCATTCACCTTATGATAGCCAGTGGGATAACCACTTTACAATATATATTTAAAAAAATGATTACTTTTATCCTATCCCAGGTATTCCTTAAAGAGGTGGGGTTTCAAGTGTCTCCGGAAGGTGGTGAGTGACTCCGCTGTCCTGGCGTCATGAGGGAGCTTGTTCCACCATTGGGGTGCCAGAGCAGCGAACAGTTTTGACTGGGCTGAGCGGGAACTGTGCTTCCGCAGAGGTAGGGGGGCCAGCAGTCCAGAGGTGGATGAACGCAATGCCCTCGTTTGGGTGTAGGGACTGATCAGAGCCTGAAGGTACGGAGGTGCCGTTCCCCTCACAGCTCCGTAGGCAAGCACCATGGTCTTGTAGCAGATGCAGGCTTCAACTGGAAGCCAGTGGAGTGTACGGAGGAGCGGGGTGACGTGAGAGAACTTGGGAAGGTTGAACACCAGACGGGCTGAGTTGTAGGGGTTTAATGGTACAGGCAGGGAGCCCAGCCAACAGCGAGTTGCAGTAATCCAGACGGGAGATGACAAGTGCCTGGATTAGGACCTGTGCCACTTCCTGTGTAAGGTAGGGTCGTACTCTGTGAATGTTGTAGAGCATGAACTTACAGGATCGGGTCACCGCTGTGATGTTAGCGGAGAATGACAGGGTGTTGTCCAGGGTCACGCCAAGGTTCTTTGCACTCTGGGAGGAGGACACAATGGAGTTGTCAACCGTGATGGCGAGATCATGGAGCGGGCAGTCCTTCCCCGGGAGGAAGAGCAGCTCCGTCTTGCCAAGGTTCAGCTTGAGGTGGTGATCCGTCATCCACACTGATATGTCTGCCAGACATGCAGAGATGCGATTCGCCACCTGGTTATCAGAAGGGGGAAAGAAGAAGATTAATTGTGTGTCGTCTGCGTAGCAATGATAGGAGAGACCATGTGAGGATATGACAGAGCCAAGTGACTTGGTGTATAGAGAGAATAGGAGAGGGCCTAGAACTGAGCCCTGGGGGACACCAGTGGTGAGAGCACGTGGTGCGGAGACAGATTCTCGCCACGCCACCTGGTAGGAGCGACCTGTGAGGTAGGACGCAATCCAAGAGTGAGCTGCGCCGGAGATGCCCAATTCGGAGAGGGTGGAGAGGAGGATCTGATGGTTCACAGTATCAAAGTATCAAAGGCAGCAGATAGGTCTAGAAGGATGAGAGCAGAGGAGAGAGAGTCAGCTTTAGCAGTGCGGAGAGCCTCCGTGACACAGAGAAGAGCAGTCTCAGTTGAATGACCAGTCTTGAAACCTGACTGGTAGATAATCGGTTTTATTACTTTTTAGGGATATATACAGATGGTTCAAAGGTTCCAGTCAGTGGTAGTGTGGGGGCAGAGGTGTATATCCCAGATTTCAATGTTAGATCAGCAGTTAACTGATTAGGTGCCAGTGTATGCGGCCGAGTTGATGGTTCCCGCCCATGTGGGTGTGGAGGGGTAATGAGAAGGCAGATGTGGTGGCTAAGAGTGCTGTGAGGAGAGAGGGGGTAGATATTCAGGTCCCGCTGGGCCGCAGGGAAGTAAGGTCCTTGATCTGAGCAAAAGGGCTGGATCTTTGGCAAAGGGAGTATGATGCTAGTAGTAAGGGTAGGGAATTTTACCGCGTGCACCGGTCAGGAAAGGAAGAGGTGGGAAGTATGGGATGTAGGAGAGAGGAAGTTGTGTGGAGTAGACTACGGTTTGGGCACACAGGTTTGAATGCCACGTTGTGGATGATAGGAAGACATGAAACAGGTCTGTGTGATGAGTGTTTAGTGGAGGAAACGGTGGTGCATGTGTTGATATTTTGTGAACTGTATGACATAGGGAGAGATTGTATGAAAGGGTTAGAGAGGCTGGCTGGGGTGCTGTAGTAGACTGAGGAAAGTGGTGTCTAGGGCTCTTTCACTTTCTTAGAGGAACAGGAATAATGAATAGAATTTAATGTAATATGGGTAGACCGTGACTGGCCTCACACTCCAGTACAGTAGGTGGCAGTGTATGCACCTTAAAAGTTGGATGCGGTCTGCCAACCCAATCCCGAAAAAGAATAAGTATTTCCGGGACCGTCAGAACATTGCCTGTCGTGGTCTAGAAAATAAACGACGGGTTTGTTTTGCTATCTAAAAGTTGATTACATTTTTCTTCATATATTGATATTGTTGATCGGGCAGTCATGTCTGGACGGGACGCCCTCAACATGAAGCAACCGCCGATCCAGTCCACGGCTGGCGCTGTGCCGATTCGAAATGAGAAAGGTGAGTTTTCCTGTAACTAACTCAAGCTATCCTGCACCAGCTGGTAGCCGATTTCATTATGGTAGCAATAGCTAGCCATCCAAGTACAACACTTTTTTGTAACTTAGGTAGTTAATATTACATATCGCTATATAATTGCTTGCAGCATACCTTAATAGTGTGTATGGACAAACTTTTTGTCTGCCTCTAGATATCAAAATAACACAACATTCCATGCCCGGCCTTATCCATGTTTCAGTCCATGCGCCACCAGCTAAACCAAAACTACAGTATATACAACTTAACTTCACCACATGTAACATAGTAAATAGAGCCATCTATGATAATGGAAAGTTCATGTTAACTAAGTGTGCTCCCCAACTTTCCCTCCCAGGTGAGATTTCGATGGAGAAGGTGAAGGTGAAGCGCTATGTGTCGGGTAAACGTCCCGACTATGCTCCCATGGACTCCTCTGACGAGGAGGAGGAGGACTTCCAGTTTATAAAAAAGGCAAAGGATGCCGAGCCTGAGATGGAGATGGAGGAAGAGGTGGTGTCTGACCCACGTCTCAAACGTCTGCTAAACCGCGTCTCTGAGGATGTGGAGGAGAGGTGAAGATACTTCTCATCGGTTCATCTTGTAAACCAGTGGCATCCTGTGTTGGTTGTGATGGCTCCCAGTCCCAACTTCATTGAGCTGAACTTTATTTGTCAGTGGACACCCATAGTTGGGTGAGGGGTTGTTAAAAAAATCTCTGCACATATTGTGGGTTTTCAGGATTTTGAATACTATGAATGATTGATTTATTTTTCTTGGGCTTTGATCTCTAAACCATTTAGTCCTAACTATTAGCCCTACTGGATGTTGAGCGCTGTGATGATTGTAAATGTTTCTTTCTCTCTCTCTCAGGTTGGCGAGACACAGACAGATCGCAGAACCGGAGGTGGTTGCAGAGAGCAGTGAGGACTCCGACGAGGGAACCTGGCACCCGGAGAGAGCACCCGAAGAGAGCAGTGACGAAGAGGAGGAGGAAGAGGAAGAAGTGGACGATGAGGTGAGTGGCACAAGGATTTTCTTGGAAAGCTGGATCAGGTCCCCCTCTTATTCATTAAGATTTAAAAGACCAAACTGATCTTGGAACATCTCTCCTACTCTGAGATGCTTTGGGAAGATGGTCCCAGGTGTTTAATATGGATTGTTATGAAAGATACCCTGTATGTAACACATTGACTTTGTCTGCAGGAAATCGAGAGGCGGCGAGCGATGATGCGCCAGCGAGCGCAGGAGCGGAAGAACGAGGACATGCCAGAGATCATGGAGGTGGAGGAAGAAGGGAATTCGGGCGCGGAGAAGGAGGAGTCGGAGTCAGAGTACGAGGAGTACACGGACAGTGAAGATGAGGCAGAGCCGCGGCTAAAACCAGTGTTCATCCGCAAGTAAGGAGTCCTGCCATCCAAGATCACTCCCGAACCATTATCAGGACTTAATATAATTTATTTTATAGAATGTAATAACTTTATTTTTCTAAAGGAAACTATGGTCGTGGCCTTGGGATTAGACAATACAAAACAGCCAAATGTATACATGACTGATGCAAATACATTAGGCTCTATACGAGAAACACCATTTTCATTTACAAGCCAGTACAAAACTTATCAGCTCTTATACTGTTTTATACTGCATGCATCAGTTTGTGTATACATGCTGTCCTGTTATCATATGAACTGAGTATGTTCACGGAACAAATTGATTGTGTTGCAGCGTTTGTGTGCCGAGTGAAAGAAGTCGATTTTGGTGTGTGTCTCTCCTCAGGAAGGACCGAGTGACAGTGGCGGAGCGCGAGGCGGAAGAGCTCAAACAGCGGGAGCTGGAGGCGGAGGCCAAGAAGCAGGTGGAGGACCGCCGGCGCTACACCCTGAAGATCGTGGAGGAGGAGGCCAAGAAGGAGTTTGAGGAGAACCGCCGCACTCTGGCCGCTCTCGACACCCTGGACACAGACGGGGAGAACGAGGAGGAGGAGTACGAGGCGTGGAAGGTCCGGGAGCTCAAACGCATCAAGAGGGACCGGGAGGCCCGTGAAGCGTGAGTACAGTCAGACTTAAATATGAACCATGGTGGTGTTCACTAGGCACAAAATGAAAATAGATCTGAAACGGGCAAGTACTATCTTAACTTGTCCAATAAGAAACACTCGTTTTCATTTTTTTGTTGCGCAAAGTTTTGAAACGTTTTGCTACAGTGTGCCCTAAAGTGCCCCATGGTGGTGGTACATTTAATTGTGCAGCACGTTTTAAGCCATTCAAAGCAATTTACAGGCAAGTGCATAAGAGAGGTACATATTCAGACAGTCTTGGATGACAATGGAAGTAGACAAAAATGCTTCTCAATTATTAAAACCAACACGCTTCTGCATGTTGCCTTCATCAGAAATACTTCACATTACTATTGAAAGCTGGTGTTGTTCCCTCGCAGTCAAAAAGACTTGCATCTTTGTATTATAGTATTTGATTATTGTATGTATGATCTGTACACTATTAGTGTTTGACCCATGTTAATAATTACTGGTCCAGAGTTAATTATATTGATACAGGCCTTTGCTGTCCATGTAACCTACTTGCCTTGTGTCGGATTTTCCAGAATGGAGAAAGAGAAGTCTGAGATTGAGAGGTTCCACAGCCTCACCGAGGAGGAGCGCAGGGCCGAGCTGCGTAACAACGGCAAACAGATCACAAACAAGGCCTCAAAGGGCAAATACAAGTTCCTCCAGAAGTACTACCACAGAGGAGCCTTCTTCATGGTGAGTTTGCTGTAGACACTGGGGTTCAGAGAACGCAATACAGTGCATTCTTATAAGAAACACACCACCCTCAGATTATATGTTGCTGATGAGTGATTGTTATAATTGTAGGAGAAAGTGTAAGTATAGGAGTGAACTGTCCCACGTTTGTTAACCGCTACAAGTGTTAGATTGTTGTATGAGTGATTCTTATAAGCAGTGTGTGGACTGTTGTAGAATATTCAGGGATGTGATTCCTGCTTTTCTGACGTTATCCTCCATTCATATAATTGAAACTTGGTAAAGATGTATTATTTTTTCTGAATAGCTTGTCTTGGCTTTGATATTGGCTAAATGCTGAATGTGATCTGTTTCCAGGACGAAGAGGAGAATGTGTTCAAGAGAGACTTCAGCGCCCCTACTCTGGAGGACCACTTCAACAAAACCATCCTCCCCAAAGTCATGCAGGTCAGCTGGACTTCTTTCAATCATCACGTTGCATACATAGTACTTCTGTAACACATGTATCCCCTATGTTTATGTATTATAAATGTACACTATTGATGTAAACAGAAAATTCAGACTGTTTTTGAACCCAGTGTATTGGCAACCCCTGTGCACCAATTTCTTTCATTTATAGTGGCTATACAGAATGTTTGCTTCTGGAGCTGCTCTTGAGACAAAATGATCTAAATGGACAGATAGTATCCAGAAACTACCTCAAACTATGGATGCGTGTGGTTTCATGACATAAGAAATTATACAATTGTATATGAACCATACAGCCAACAATCAATCCGAAATGTGACGTCAACAATTAGTGCATCTTTAACAACCCCCTCATTTAATTCTAGGTCAAGAACTTTGGTCGCTCCGGACGCACTAAGTACACCCACCTGGTGGACCAGGACACCACATCGTTCGACTCAGCCTGGGCTCAGGAGAGCGCTCAGAACAGCAAGTTCTTCAAGCAGAAGGCTGCAGGAGTGAGAGACGTGTTTGACCGGCCAACAGTGCAAAAGAGGAAGACCTGAATCCGAGTTGGGTGGGAGACTTCAGTATTTCTCCTGCATTTTCAGACTTTTCAACAAGCTTGGGGTGAAACGTTTCAGAATGTTGCAGATGGAAATGTACTAGACTTCACTGAAGTATGTTCTATGGCCATACATTTACCTGCAATATCCTGAATGCGCCAACCACTTGAGCAAGGCCCTGGGTTTAGGGCTATGCCCTGATAATGTGTGGATGCTTCATGGCGGCATATTTATGTAATTTTGTAAATTTTCAGAGTTGTGTAGCTATTTTGTTTTCAGTTTTAGGACTTCCCTGATTTTGTTTTATCCCCATTGATCTGACAAGTCATTTTCTTCTAACTTGGATATACAGCGTAAGTGATTAAAACACATTGCAATTTCATCCATTGGTTTTATTTCATTCCACATTTATTATAAATCAAAAACATGTGGTTGAAAAAGTAAACAAGACTAATCAATTTTAAGTATTGTTGAAGAATATACAAAGAAATGCAATGTTTTATTTCAGTTGACAATGTCTGATTTGAGCCATGGAATGGAGTCAATGAATACGGTCAGGCTAGGAAGCAGTCCAGTGTCCAATGCTGCTGCATAAAGCTGCTCTGGGGTCAGTTAGTTTGACAGGTCAATCAGAGCCTCTACCACGTTCCCCATGTGTTCTCTCAGACTGCGCTCGGCCACTCCTCGGGAAATCTCCATCTCGCCCATCTGTGGATAGACAGTTGAGGGGCGGGACATCAGAATGGGTAGTTGTATTGATAGGAGAAAAAGCTTGAGACATTCATACAATCTATGAATGTATCTCTGAAGCATAGGTTTTTATTAACACCCCATAATAGAACTAGAGTTTAAGGACTAATTTGATGAAATGCTTTTGTGATGCAAAGACCATTTAACTTTAGATGAGGGTTGTGACTGACACATTTAAACAAGAAAAATATCTGGGGGGATACTTACAATGAGTTCTACGTCCTCTTTCTTTATAGTGACTTTAGCCAGTTCCTTTTCTCTGAAATCATAACCCCAGACAAGCCATTAGTGTACTCAATTGACAGATCAGTGGTTGTTGAATGAAAATCTGACAAAGGAACAGTGACTCACCTATCCTGTTTGGCTTTCTGTTCTCTTGATCTCCTGTCTCCAATCACTGACATAGCCTGAAACAGGACATACAGACATTATCAGATCGTCAAAGGGATCATATTATTATGACAGTACTGACGAGTCAGTAACTAGTACTCCAAAAACAGGTTGGAAGAGTATCAATTCTGTACAGCATAAAAACATAGAAGTAGCCATAGGCTAACGTTCGCTGAATAGACAGAAGCCCTACCCTGTCATGGGAAGTACAGCGCCTGTTCTGTTCTGGGGTAACTTGGTTGAACAGCACGTGCTAACGTGAAATTACGCGTTTGTGAGTTGATTACGGTAACACTTTCACAACAACATGGTTTGGGCAAAGATTGTTGCCATTCTTCACTGTACGCAGTTAGGCCTGTTGTTAGCATAAGCTAGCTAGCAAACCAACATACCTCGCTATCATACTACTGTAATGTGGGCACCCATCGTCGCCCCGCGTGCTTGGCCCAGCCTCACCGTTTCAAGATCGGAGCTTGAGATTTCCTTCTCCTCGGCATAATCGGTGACTCTCTCCAAATCAGCGGCCCCGCTATCATGTTTCCGAGGCTTTTCTGCTGGTTTTCCAGTGCAGTTCTCGTCAGCTTCCAGGTCCAAATCCACATCTCCCTCTGCCGCCATATTTGCTCCTGTAGATCCGGAACGAAAATAAAGTGAGTATCAGTTTACAGAACTATCGGAAGGCAGATTAAGAAGCACCAATGTCACATGGTTTCCGGTGTAATTTAGCAAAGCGGTCCATGTTGTACGGGATCCTTGGGACCTCCAGATTAATATTAAATATGACCTATAAATAATTACAATATGTTCCTTCCAAACAACTGTAAAGTATGTTAAAAAGCATATTTTCTGTGTTGGAATGGTGTGGGCGTACCCCAAAAACAGAATGGTATGGGCATATACCGGTAATTAAAAATATTCATTACCCAACTCGGATTCATCATCTATTGAGGAAATAGCAAGCATTTTTTGAAGTGGTCTGTTTGAGATACAAGTTTGAGGTAGGTTTTTTAAAGTGTTTGTTCTCCAATTTATGCTTTGGCCACAAATACGAGTATAGGATGAGTCAACAACATTATTTGGGTATGAGATAACAGAATATTAACTTTTAAAAGTGAGATTTTCACAGGACAGTTACTTTAAGATCAAGTTCAATCCCTTAAAAAAAAATGTGATATCCAACTTCCAAGTGTCACATGGCCAAATGGGACAAATGCCAAATGATATTCTGACTGGATAGGTTGATGTGTAGACTGCATGAGGATGGATTAATGGGAACTCCACACATCTAGGCCTATTTCTGTCTCGCTTAAGAGGTTTACAGTACTTTAATACTCGGAGTGCCAACAACCTGGTCAACCTCCTCTCCTACATTTCTCACTCAGTCCCCCCACAACAGTTTTCCCGCCTCCTGTACACTACACTACACTAACCAATCCATCCAATTTATTTTAATCAGCTTAAGCCTAAAGAGTAGAGAAACCTTCCCTGATCACTTCTGAAGCCAACATCGCTTTGACTGTCTCTCCCTCTTAGGGTGTTTGCTCAGAACTTAGAATGAAGCATTGAGGGAGTGAGCTTGGGCTTTTGCAAGTGGTGGGACTCTGGTATTGGGGTCAATTCCATTTCAATTCAGTCAATGTAGTTAAAATTTATTTCCTGAATTTATTTCATTTAAATGGAATTTAACCCAACTCTGGTCGGACTGCCTTCAAAATGGATTCAATTCAATAACAAAGAATATGAATTTATGAATTCTATAGTTTTTATGGATTGCATTCCCAGCCCTCCCTGAGAAACAGTGAATGGTGTTGCAGACATTACCATCCTGGTAAACAAAATGGAATGAATAGAATGTCTTATTGTGTCACCCCCCTTCCCTTCCCCTGCCTGGTGGAATTTGTCTCACTGACTGCCTTCCTTCTCACCCAATTTAGCTCCTGGCTGTGTTCAGTAGTTCATCAACACCTCACTATGATCCACTTCTTGATCTATAATAGTTGCTGTTGTCCTATACATGTACAGTTACAGTATGCTATGGATTGATTGACAAACAGACTGAACAACCCGCCGATACCAGCAGGCAGGCAGACAGACAGACAGGCAGGTAGACAGACAGGTAGACAGACAGGCAGACAGACATAAATCAGACAGACATAGAAACAGGACATTGTGATCATATTGATATGATTCTTTAGAGTGAAATGGCCCATTTTTCTGTTATATAATTCATGTCACATAGGCCTATATTGTATATTATTTTGATAAAAAGTATCATTGAAAAAATCCTCAGTTCATTGAGCTGCTAGTTTGAACTTTAAACTCATGGGTTGCAGGCCACATTGAAAAGGCAATCAAATACTGTTTTTAATCCCCCAACCTGTGAAGTAGAAATATGATGTTTCATCCTTTCAGAAATGTTTGGGATTGTGGTGTAGATTATGTGTGGGAAATTTGCTGTAATCTGCAGCTTCTGTGTAATCCAGAGAGCGTAAATTGGAAAATTGACTGTTACGCACACTCAATCAGTTATGTCACTGTTGATGAATGGATAAATTGTGTTGCCATGGGTTGACATGGGAATCCTCTAACTGACATGTGAGGCTTGCCTCTCTCTGGGTCATCGTCTTAGTTCTGTGTCTCATCACACTCAATGGACAGTAAGACTACAATGTTTATAAATGCTTACACTTCAAACATATCTCTAAAATAACTGGGCTCTAAAGAATATTAAGACACTTTTTTTTTTTACACAAAAAAAAACTACAGTCAACTGTGTTTTTTGGAAAGCATGTGCTTGGACTCGATCCAACCGTTCTTCCAAAAGGCCTATAGATTGAATGCTTTCACTCAAGCGTTGTTTTGGCTCCTCTAATTTGCTTTTGTCTGCTCGCTTTGGCAGTGTCTCCTCTCCCACGAGGAAACAGCAATTATCTGTCAGAGAAAAGGCCCCCAGGAATGCTGGGTAGTGGCGAGGGCGACGGTGGTGGGCCTCCCTGACCGACCCTCGAGAGTAAAACCCGGGACGTACTCATTATGCACCAAATGGAAAGAAACGGATTGAAACAGGGAGGGACAACTGTTTTTTCCGTTGTATATTTTTTGAAAAAGTGTTGCTACGATGTGTGCTAATGAATACAATACTGTTTATCTGAAGGGACTAATTGGTTCTTGTAAATTCACGGTGGAGTGATTTAGCCAACAGCAGATTAAAGATCTTCAAACCAGATTAAAGTTCTTAGTGATTCTTCTCTGCTGCGATGACATCAGTTAATGTTGATTCTTGGAGAATAGTATTTGTTCATTGTCACTGTAAGGAATGAATTGGTAGTCAGTATTGTGTTTTTTAGGGCAATGATTGCGAGTGTTGATGGTTTTGTGATCTCAGACAGGAGCTATGATTGCGTGACAACCAACTGGGATGAAGGAAAACAGATAGTACCACTGTCACGTCTGAAGAAGGAAAACAGTGGCCCACTGTGTCACATTTGGCAGATTGATTGACATATTTCCATTTGTAGCTTAATGAGAGGAAAATACATGAACATCTCCAGCGCAAGCCTGTACAGTATAGACCTATAACTCAATCTGTATTACATCAATTATCTACTGAGAGACAGCAGTGAGATCTTTCATCCAACTTGTCATCTATCCTCTCTGTCATTAGTGAGACAGGTCCCCAGAAAAAGGACAGGCATTGGCTATTTCTAGCTATTTTTGGCTACAATCCTACAACTGTTGTTATGCTACAGGCTGTGTAGCGCTTGTGCGTCCCCGGCAGACAATCAATGTGAGAGTATTCGGTAACACTTTACTTGACACCTAGCGTCATAATATCACATTATGACATGGTCATAACCATATCATAAAGCTGACATAACCTGTCAGGGCAGCAGGTAGCTTAGTGGTTAAGAGCGTAGTGCCAGTAACCGAAAGGTCGCTGGTTCTAATCCCCAAGCCGACTAAGTGAAAAATCTGTTGATGTGCCCTTGAGCAAGGCACTTAACCCTAATTGCTCCTGTAAGTCGCTCTGGATAAGAGCGCCTGCTAAATGACTAAAATGTAATGACCCATATATTTACACCTGTTGTGACATATATTGGGTTATTTTATGGCTGGTTATGGCACCTGCATAAGTGTCAAAACCCACATTTATTCAAATATGTTTTTTTCTTTGCCAATAAGTTTTCTTTTCGTTTGAAAGTTGTTTTTAAAAATATTTTGTTGTTGTTGTTGTTGAAATTCATTATTTAAAGTCATGTTTTTACACTTTATGACACTGTCAAGAAGCATTATGACCATCCTGTGTCACTTTACTTGGACTAAGAAAATACACTTTATGACACTGTCATGAAGCATTATGACTATACTGTGTCACTTTACTTGGACTAAGAAAATACACTTTATCACACTGTCAAGAAGTATTATGACCATCATAATCATATAAGCTAGATAGGCCTATCACGTACACGCCCTTATGTCAGTCATCAGTCAAAAAGAAGGTGTCCTGCTCCTGAAATCTGCTCCTGCATTCATCCCAGTCATCAGCAACAGAGCATTGGGGTAGGCGCATGTCTGACATCAATATGTGTGCAATTACAATGATAATTCAACATGGTCAATTTCAGAAAATGTTATATAACATAGAAAATAATGTTGACAAGTAGGCCATGGTGTAATGGAATGTTTTGCCTTGTGTGGTAGGTTTTGTGGGTTTTGACATTCTTATGTAGGTGTCATAACCAGCCATAAATAACACAATATATGTCACAACAGGTCTAAATATATGTGTCATGACAGAGTTATTACCATATTGTAACAGGTTATGACACGTTACAGTATGTCAGCTGTTATGACATATTATGACATGGTTATGTCCATGTCATAACGTGTTATGACGCTAGGTGTCAAGTAAAGTGTTACCGAGTATTCATTCAGACTGTTTGTATCCCCCCACAAGCCTCTTATCCCAGTCAGAGAGGGTCGCGTCAGACAGCTCTCTAGGCCTCTTACTGTGCTCAGTTCATTCACTTGTACCAAGGATTAGAGTTGTGGAAGACAGAGAAAGTAGGTATTATAGTTGCTGCTATTCTGAGAGCAGATAGGAAATATTGACACAATGTCCATTTTCCACTATGTCTAAAACGAGTTTGTCATTGATAATCAACACAGCTTTACAGTGCATCAGGGAGTGTGCAGTTAGATAACATAGGCCATTCTTAAATCAATCCCTAGACTAGGGCTGCAAAAGTCCATTAATAAGTGTATATAACCCATCAAACATAAGTGCTTAAAATTGTTGTTTTGAGTTGCTGACAGTTCTTCATAGGCTGCAGGTGGCTAAAAACTGTGTTGTGGTAGAATTTATTTTGTTTACTTGGTCTGTCACAATAATATTTGACAGGCCTAGATTGGTCACACAACCCCAAAAGGTTTGGGAACCACTGATGAGTTAGGCCTATGCTGTTATAGAGTACTAGCCCCAGTAGGAACTGTTCTGCAGCCGAACGATGATAACCCAGTCTGGGTTATGGAGTTAGGCTGCGGCGGGGTCGGGGAGAGAGAGAGCGTGACTGATGAAGGTCACCCTAACTGAGACTGAGAGGACTGTACAACTCCCCTGGATTATCCTGGCACAGCGCCCTGCACACTGACCCAAATCTA